TGTATATTTGGAGTTTGCGTGTCTCTCTCTCATCATCATCATCACGGTGGCTAGGAGATGTTAACTACCTCGCCTGGTGTACAGGAGGTCGTGGGTTCGATCTCGACCCTGACGCCTGCTGCTGTATATTTGGAGTTTGCGTGTCTCTCTCTCATCATTACCACGGTGGCTAGGAGATGTTAACTACCTCGCCTGGTATACAGGAGGTCGTGGGTTCGATCCCGACCTGACGCCTGCTGCTGTATATTTGGAGTTTGCGTGTCTCTCTCTCATCATCATCATCACGGTGGCTAGGAGATGTTAACTACCTCGCCTGGTATACAGGAGGTCGTGGGTTCGATCCCGACCCTGACGCCTGCTGCTGTATATTTGGAGTTTGCGTGTCTCTCTCTCATCATCATCATCACGGTGGCTAGGAGATGTTAACTACCTCGCCTGGTGTACAGGAGGTCGTGGGTTCGATCCCGACCCTGACGCCTGCTGCTGCTGTATATTTGGAGTTTGCGTGTCTCTCTCCACGTGGTCGCGTGGATTTTTCTCCCGGGCCCTTCGGTTTTTCCCTCCCACATTTAGCATCAACTTCACGCGTCTCGAGTACGTGTCCGCCGCTGTAAATGTCCACATCTAGATGTTAATGTCCAAATGTTAAGCCACTTCACTGGGCTATTATCTGTGATGGTCAGTTCGCTTCTGAAACAAAGCCGTATGTAGCTCGGTGGGGCATTACTTGCTAAAAATAAAGGTAGCCACATCGCAAAATAGTTAACGGCGTGAGAATTCGATTTCTCGTTGACCGCGTCGGGTGGTGGAGGGTTCTCAAGGGAGGGCACGTGGCTCGTCAGCCAGAGGTCGCAAACGGGTTTTGATTCCTTACCCGTGCCCGTACCCGGCCGCACCAGGGTCGCAAATGGGTACCCGTACCCGTACCCGGCCGGGTACGGGTAGCCGTTCCCTACCCGTACTCTACCCGAAATGAGTGACAAACGGCTACTCACCAGTGACTCACGGCCTACCCGTACCCGGCCGCACCAGGGTCGCAAACGGCTACCCGTACCCGGCCGGGTACGGGTAGCCGGGTATCGGGTAGGGTACGAGTATCGGGTACCCGGTTGCGACCTCTGTCGTCATCTGATTACGGGACGGTGGTCTGAACCCAACCATCTGTTGTGACTCTCAACATTGACTGTCAAGTTGTTATTGTTTACATTGTGCTGTTGAGTTTTGTTGTTGTTGGTTTTTGTTGCTGCCATTGTTGATGTTATTCGAGTTTTTTTGTTGCCATTGTTACTGTGTTTATTGTTTTAGTCATCGTTATCGCTATTGTTGTTGTTGCCATTGTTGTTGTTATTGTTAGTTGTTTTTGTTTCCATTGTTATTGGAGTTGCTATTTTTGTTATTGTTTTTGTTGTCATTATTGTTTGGTCGTTATTGCTGTTTTTATTGTTATTGCTGTTGTGGTTGTTGTGGTTGCCATTGTTAGTGTGTATTGTTTTTGTTTTTGATATTGATTTTAGCGATCGTTTGATCTTCCATTGTTATTGTTATTTTTTTTATTTCGGTCGATTTTGTATTGTTTTTGTTGGCGCTGTTATTGCTATGGCTGTTATTGTTTTTATTCTTATTGTTTTGGTTGTCATTGGTGTTGCTTTTGTTATTGTTGTTGTCGTTGTTGTTGTTGAGTTGTCCAGGAGTGATGGGGGCGTACGAACCACGGATCGAAGCCACATTCCCTTCCAAGATCATCGCCGTTCAGGGACACAGTCTCAGGCTCGAGTGCTTTGCTCTGGGAAAGTAAGTCACTGAAATACACGCCACCATCACCAACACCATCACCACCATCACCAACACCATCACCACCATCACCAACACCATCACCAACACCATCACCACGACCATCACCACCACCGTCACCACCATCACCACCACCTTCACCACCATCATCAACACCATCACCACCACCATCACCAACAACATCACCAACACCATCACCACCATCACCACCACCATCACCACCACCATCACCAACACCATCACCAACACCATCACCACCATCACCAACACCATCACCAACACCATCACCACCATCACCAACACCATCACCAACACCATCACCACCATCATCACCATCACCAACACCATCACCACCATCACCAACACCATCACCAACACCATCACCACCATCACCAACACCACCACCACCACCACCTTCACCACCACCATCACCACCATTTTTTCATTCAGACGCTGTCTTTCCGACAGACCTGTTCTTCACCTGAGGACGGCTGCTTGCGTTGTGGCAGAAACGTTGTGAGAATTATTTTATTATGTTTTATTTTTATTTTTTTATTATTTCCTTCCTTACCGAAAGAACCAAGAAGATGAATCTATGGGCAGTGTTAGTCTATGGGCAGTGTTGAGTCTATGGGTAGTGTTGAGTCTATGGGTAGTGTTGAGTCTATGGGTAGTGTTGAGTCTATGGGCAGTGTTGAGTCTATGGGCAGTGTTGAGTCTATGGGCAGTGTTGAGTCTATGGGCAGTGTTGAGTCTATGGGCAGGTTGAGTCTATGGGCAGTGTTGAGTCTATGGGCAGTGTTGAGTCTATGGGCAGTGTTGAGTCTATGGGCAGTGTTGAGTCTATGGGCAGTGTTGAGTCTATGGGCAGTGTTGAGTCTATGGGCAGTGTTGAGTCTATGGGCAGTGTTGAGTCTATGGGCAGTGTTGAGTATATGGGTAGTGTTGAGTCTATGGGCAGTGCTTCAGTGTTGAGTCTATGGGCAGTGTTGAGTTCTATGGGCAGTGTTGAGTCTATGGGCAGTGTTAGTCTATGGGCAGTGTTGAGTCCTATGGGCAGTGTTGAGTCTAGGGCAGTGTTGAGGTCTATGGGCAGTGTTGAGTCTATGGGCAGTGTTGAGTCTATGGGCAGTGTTGAGTCTATGGGCAGTGTTGAGTCTTATGGGCAGTGTTGAGTCTATGGGCAGTAGTTGAGTCTATGGGCAGTGTTGAGTCCTATGGGCGTGTTGAGTCTATGGGCAGTGTTGAGTCTATGGGCAGTGTTTGATCTATGGGCAGTGTTGAGTCTATGGGCAGTGTTGAGTCTATGGGCAGTGTTGAGTCTATGGGCAGTGTTGAGTCTCGGGGCAGTGTGAGTCTATGGGCAGTGTTGAGTCTATGGCAGTGTTGAGTCATGGGCCAGTGTTGAGTCTCTGGGCATTGTTGAGTCTATGGGCAAGTGTTGAGTCTATGGGCAGTGTTGAGTATATGGCAGTGTGAGTCTATGGGTCAGTGTTGAGTCTATGGGCAGTGTGAGTCTATGGGCAGTGTTGAGTCTATGGGCAGTGTTGAGTCTATGGGCAGTGTTGAGTCCTAGGGCAGTGTTGAGTCTATGCGGCAGTGTTGAGTCTCTGGGCAGTGTTGAGGTCGTATGGGCAGTTTGAGTCTATGGGCAGTGTATGGGCAGTGTTGAGTCCTATGGGCAGTGTTGAGTCTATGGGCAGTGTTGAGTCTATGGGCAGTGTTGAGTCTATGGGCAGTGTTGAGTCTATGGGCAGTGTTGAGTCTATGGGCAGTGTTGAGTCTATGGGCAGTGTTGAGTCTATGGGCAGTGTTGAGTCTATGGGCAGTGTTGAGTCTATGGGCAGTGTTGAGTCTATGGGCAGTGTTGAGTCCTATGGGCATGTTGAGTCTATGGGCAGTGTTGAGTCTATGGGCAGTGTTGAGTCCTATGGGCAGTGTTGAGTCTATGGGCAGTGTTGAGTCTATGGGCAGTGTTGAGTCTATGGGTAGTGTTGAGTCTATGGGCAGTGTTGAGTCTATGGGCAGTGTTGAGTCTATGGCCAGTATGTATGTTGAACTTCTTTCGCACCATACGTAGCCAACCGTGTTCATCGGATAATCGTGAGCGGGCCACTCGCACCCGGAGAAGGGGGGGCGAGGAGTCGCCGGGCTTGCTAACCGCTGCACCACCACTCCCCACCGTTCCCCTCGTTACCCAGCCCCGTGCCGCGGCTGTCGTGGTCGCGATCCGGCGGGGAGCTGCCGCCGTCGGCGCGTCTCTCCGAGTCGGGCTCCCTGCTGGAGATCCCCGCGGTGCGCGAGTCGGACGGAGGCACCTACACCTGCTCGGCACGCAACGCCGCCGGGGGCAACGCAGTCAACGGCACCGTCACGGTGCGCGGTGCGTCACCGTCGCAGGCTACCGCCACCACCAGCGCAACCACCACCACTACCGCTGCCACCACTACTACCGCTACCACTACCACCGCTACCACCACTACCGCCGCCACCACTACCGTCACCGCCACCACCACTACCACCGCTACCACTACCACCGCTACCACCACTACCGCCACCACCACCGCCATCACCACAACCACCACCACAACCACCACTACCGCCACCGCCACCATCACCACCACCACCACCACCGCCACCACAACCACCACTACCGTCACCGCCACCACGACCACTACCGCAACCACCACCACTACCGCTACCACCACTACCGCCGCCACCACTATCACCGCTACCACTACCACCACTACCACCACCACAACCACCACTACCGCCACCACCACCACCACCACCACCACAACCACCACTACCGCCACCATCACCACCACCACCACCGCCACCACCACTATTGCCACCACCACTATTGCCACCACCACTATTGCCACCACCACTACCGCCACTACCCCCACCACCACCACTACCGCCACCACCACCACTAACACTACCACCGCCGCCACCGCTACTGCCACCACCACCACCGCCACTACCACCACCATTACCGCCACCACTACCGCCACTACCACCACCATTACCGCCACCACTACCGCCACCACTACCACCACCATTACCGCCACCACTACCACCACCACCATTACCGCCACAACATTTGGAACCATTGGGGCTCTGACAGCAGCACCACGACGATGGTGGTGATGGTGGTGATGGAGGTGGTGATGATGGTGATGATGGTGGTGATGATGGTGATGGTGGTGGTGATGGTGGTGGTGGTGATGGTGGTGATGGTGGCGATGGTGGCGGTGATGATGGTGATGATGGTGGTGATGATGGTGATGATGGTGGTGGTGATGATGGTGATGGTGGTGGTGATGATGGTGATGGTGGTGGTGGTGATGGTGGTGATGGTGGTGATGGTGGTGGTGATGATGGTGATGATGGTGGTGATGATGGTGGTGATGGTGGTGGTGATGATGGTGATGATGGTGGTGATGATGGTGATGATGGTGGTGGTGATGATGGTGGTGATGGTGGTGATGATGGTGATGGTGGTGATGGTGGTGATGGTGATGATGGTGATGTTGGTGATGATGGTGGTGGTGGTGATGGTGGTGGTGATGGTGGTGGTGATGGTGGTGATGGTGGTGATGGTGATGGTGGTGATGGTGGTGGTGATAGTGGTGGTGATGGTGGTGGTGATGGTGATGATGGTGATGATGGTGGTGATGGTGATGATGGTGGTGGTGATGGTGGTGGTGATGGTGGTGGTGATGGTGATGGTGGTGATGGTGGTGATGGTGATGGTGGTGATGGTGGTGGTGGTGGTGGTGATGGTGGTGGTGATGGTGGTGGTGATGGTGATGATGGTGCACGAGGGCCGCAAGTGGTGTGCGGGCCTTGTAATGGAGAACACTGCCTCAGGGCCATCGTGAACCCAAATAGAGGCCCACCAGGGCCATCGTGAACCCAGCTAGAGACCCACCAGGGCCATCGTGAACCCAAATAGAGGCCCACCAGGGCCATCGTGAACCCAGCTAGAGGCCCACCAGGGCCATCGTGAACCCAGCTAGAGACCCACCAGGGCCATCGTGAACCCAGCTAGAGGCCCACCAGGGCCATCGTGAACCCAGCTAGAGGCCCACCAGGGCCATCGTGAACCCAGCTAGAGGCCCACCAGGGCCATCGTGAACCCAGCTAGAGGCCCACCAGGGCCATCGTGAACCCAGCTAGAGGCCCATCAGGGCCATCGTGAGCCCAGCTAGAGGCCCACCAGGGCCATCGTGAACCCAGCTAGAGGCCCACCAGGGCCATCGTGAACCCAGCTAGAGGCCCACCAGGGCCATCGTGAACCCAGATAGAGGCCCCACCAGGGCCATCGTGAACCCAGCTAGAGGCCCACCAGGGCCATCGTGAGCCCAGCTAGAGGCCCACCAGGGCCATCATGAACCCAGCTAGAGGCCCACCAGGGCCATCGTGAACCCAGCTAGAGCCCCACCAGGGCCATCGTGAACCCAGCTAGAGGCCCACCAGGGCCATCATGAACCCAGCTAGAGGCCCACCAGGGCCATCATGAACCCAGCTAGAGCCCCACCAGGGCCATCGTGAACCCAGCTAGAGGCCCACCAGGGCCATCGTGAACCCAGCTAGAGCCCCACCAGGGCCATCGTGAACCCAGCTAGAGGCCCACCAGGGCCATCATGAACCCAGCTAGAGCCCCACCAGGGCCATCGTGAACCCAGCTAGAGGCCCACCAGGGCCATCGTGAACCCAGCTAGAGCCCCACCAGGGCCATCGTGAACCCAGCTAGAGGCCCACCAGGGCCATCATGAACCCAGCTAGAGGCCCACCAGGGCCATCATGAACCCAGCTAGAGCCCCACCAGGGCCATCGTGAACCCAGCTAGAGGCCCACCAGGGCCATCGTGAGCCCAGCTAGAGGCCCACCAGGGCCATCATGAACCCAGCTAGAGGCCCCACCAGGGCCATCATGAACCCAGCTAGAGGCCCACCAGGGCCATCGTGAGCCCAGCTAGAGGCCCACCAGGGCCATCATGAACCCAGCTAGAGGCCCCACCAGGGCCATCATGAACCCAGCTAGAGGCCCACCAGGGCCATCGTGAGCCCAGCTAGAGGCCCACCAGGGCCATTGTGAACCCAGCTAGAGGCCCCACCAGGGCCATCGTGAGCCCAGCTAGAGGCCCACCAGGGCCATCGTGAACCCAGCTAGAGGCCCACCAGGGCCATCATGAACCCAGCTAGAGGCCCACCAGGGCCATCGTGAGCCCAGCTAGAGGCCCACCAGGGCCATCGTGAGCCCAGCTAGAGGCCCACCAGGGCCATCATGAACCCGGCTAGAGGCCCCACCAGGGCCATTGTGAGCCCAGCTAGAGGCCCACCAGGGCCATTGTGAACCCAGCTAGAGGCCCACCAGGGCCATCGTGAACCCGGCTAGAGGCCCACCAGGGCCATCGTGAACCCGGCTAGAGGCCCACCAGGGCCATCGTGAACCCAGCTAGAGGCCCACCAGGGCCATTGTGAACCCGGCTAGAGGCCCACCAGGGCCATCGTGAACCCAGATAGAGGCCCACCAGGACCATCGTGAACCTAGCTAGAGGCCCACCAGGGCCATCGTGAACCCGGCTAGAGGCCCACCAGGGCCATCGTGAACCCAGCTAGAGCCCCGCCAGGGCCATCGTGAACCCGGCTAGAGGCCCACCAGGGCCATCGTGAACCCAGCTAGAGGCCCCACCAGGGCCATCGTGAACCCAGCTAGAGGCCCACCAGGGCCATCGTGAACCCGGCTAGAGGCCCACCAGGGCCATCGTGAACCCAGCTAGAGGCCCCACCAGGGCCATCGTGAACCCAGCTAGAGGCCCCACCAGGGCCATCGTGAACCCGGCTAGAGGCCCACCAGGGCCATCGTGAACCCAGCTAGAGGCCCACCAGGGCCATCGTGAACCCAGCTAGAGCCCCACCAGGGCCATCGTGAACCCGGCTAGAGGCCCACCAGGGCCATCATGAACCCGGCTAGAGGCCCACCAGGGCCATCGTGAACCCAGCTAGAGGCCCCACCAGGGCCATCGTGAACCCAGCTAGAGGCCCATCAGGGCCATTGTGAACCCGGCTAGAGGCCCACCAAGGCCATCGTGAACCCAGCTAGAGGCCCACCAGGGCCATCGTGAACCCAGCTAGAGCCCCACCAGGGCCATCGTGAACCCGGCTAGAGGCCCACCAGGGCCATCGTGAACCCGGCTAGAGGCCCACCAGGGCCATCGTGAACCCAGCTAGAGGCCCCACCAGGGCCATTGTGAACCCGGCTAGATGCCCACCAGGGCCATCGTGAACCCAGCTAGAGACCCACCAGGGCCATCGTGAACCCAGCTAGAGGCCCACCAGGGCCATCGTGAACCCAGCTAGAGCCCCACCAGGGCCATCGTGAACCCGGCTAGAGGCCCACCAGGGCCATCGTGAACCCGGCTAGAGGCCCACCAGGGCCATCGTGAACCCCAGCTAGAGGGCCCCACCAGGGCCATTGTGAACCCGGCTAGAGGCCCACCAGGGCCATCGTGAACCCGGCTAGAGACCCACCAGGGCCATCGTGAACCCAGCTAGAGGCCCACCAGGGCCATCGTGAACCCGGCTAGAGGCCCATCAGGGCCATCGTGAACCCAGCTAGAGGCCCACCAGGGCCATCATGAACCCAGCTAGAGGCCCCACCAGGGCCATCGTGAACCCAGCTAGAGGCCCCACCAGGGCCATCGTGAACCCGGCTAGAGACCCACCAGGGCCATCGTGAACCCAGCTAGAGGCCCACCAGGGCCATCGTGAACCCGGCTAGAGGCCCACCAGGACCATCGTGAACCCAGCTAGAGGCCCACCAGGGCCATCGTGAACCCAGCTAGAGGCCCCACCAGGGCCATCGTGAACCCAGCTAGAGGCCCACCAGGGCCATCATGAACCCAGCTAGAGGCCCACCAGGGCCATCATGAACCCAGCTAGAGACCCACCAGGGCCATCGTGAGCCCAGCTAGAGGCCCACCAGGGCCATCGTGAACCCGGCTAGAGGCCCACCAGGGCCATCGTGAACCCAGCTAGAGACCCACCAGGGCCATCGTGAACCCGGCTAGAGACCCACCAGGGCCATCGTGAACCCAGCTAGAGACCCACCAGGGCCATCGTGAACCCGGCTAGAGGCCTACCAGGGCCATCGTGAACCCAGCTAGAGGCCCACCAGGGCCATCGTGAACCCAGCTAGAGGCCCACCAGGGCCATCGTGAACCCAGCTAGAGGCCCCACCAGGGCCATCGTGAACCCGGCTAGAGGCCCACCAGGGCCATCGTGAACCCAGCTAGAGGCCCACCAGGGCCATCGTGAACCCAGCTAGAGCCCCACCAGGGCCATCGTGAACCCGCCTAGAGGCCCACCAGGG